AAGTCATAGACAAACGCTTGTGCTTTAAACTTGAGAAACTCGCAAGCATGATATAATATTTACACCATACATTATATAGTACAATATAGAAGCTTGCAAGCCAACGTACTTGTTCTTACGAAACTAATTTTTGCTAATTCGTTAATAGACCACATTGACTCGATTAATTGTTTTAATATTGATGAGAATTGTGGATCTTAATTGCCGAAATAAAAGTAAAGGAACACTAAGGTTACACTTAGAATTCATATTAGAATAGTTTTAGATTTATTTAATAAACGATTTCCAGGATCTTCGTCGATCTACATTTGCAACGCGTCTCAGCACTTTCTTTGTCTCACCATCTTCCATACCACGCTGCCAACGGAACAGTTACGCAAAATTATACATATCTCAATAAATATCAAAACCCTCTTCTCTCGACCAAACCATATAATTTCCTAGTCGAAGAAACCAACGTCCTGGTTAGTGTTTCCAAAACTTGCTCTTATCGCAAACACATACGTTCCATCGCCAACAAACGGAGACCTACGAACGAAACGGAGAACCCGGCGAGGTTCCGATCACGGAAGCATCGAAATCAGTCTGGTTACCGTTGGAGGCAGCAAGAAGAAGGTTGGACGACGCTGCGGAAGGAAGCGACCATCCTCCTGCCCAGTAGCCAGCGGCGATAGAGTCGCCGCTATTCACGTCGTACTCCCTTTCGGGCGGACTCTTCAGAGTTTAATATAATGGCTAATATCATCGGAGATCCGCACAATGCAAACAATTTGAACCTGCGGGTTCCGACTGCTCTCTCGTGCCCCGTGAACGAGCGACAGAGGATGCTGTGGGAGGGTGGCACGCGATAAGACGGCCAATGAACAGAAAATAGCGTGCTCGCGGAGGAAACTGTGGGCCTCGCTGGTTAAATACGACGGACATCGGTAATCGATAACGAACAATGGCTCGCGGAAAACGCGAACCCGATGATGTCGTGTCTCCGTGATATCCACCACCAGTCAATCTGCTCTCCTGTGAATGTTGTCGATGGTTAGGGATCGTTGCCGCGGTCCCTCTTCCTACTTTGATTTTCGCTCTTTGTCTTTAATCAGTTGCAACAGGGGCGCGTAAGTTATCGAGGTTATTTGGAACGTGATAAAATGATGATTTCTAGATTTAAATTACTCGATTGTTGATATTTACTATTTACCTTCTAACAGTGGCATACGTGAGGAACAATGAGAGTTTGAAGAATTTCTTTGCTCTTTATGCTATAGGTGAAACAATGTTCTCTATTTTATAATTTGATTGGCAATCGCTGATTGTGAATATATATATATATATATATATATATATATATATATATATATATATATATATCAACATATATAACATATACTTGTAACAGGATCGAATTCAGTATATCGTCGATTGGCGATTTTTACAAATTCGATGCATTTATCCAACGTTGAATTTTAATAGTCGAACGACAGCACCGTGTATATTTTTCAAAGAAAAAATCTTGAATTCGTAGTATGGTTATTGCGATGGTATTGTTACGAATGATTTTAGTAAATCAGCAACCTATATTTTCCTAAGGTTACTAGATCAAACACGAACATCATCCATAATTAATAAAAGCTATTGTTATCACAAAATCAGAATAGTATGTTTATCAGTGTCGTAATGATTTGCCAGGTCCCGTTTAACGTGGCTACATTTCGACCAATTAGCATTTATAATTAGAAACGTTTGTCCTGCATTATTCATGGAAAGCCGATGGCTCGAGCCATCATCGTGTCGTTCACGAATTCGATGATCAACGCCTGTAACCTGTTCCTCGTCGTTCGGCGATTTTTCATCGGACAACGTCGAATAAACAAACGCATTGCTCGTCTCTAGTTGGTTAAACGACTTCAAAAACTGCCGGACATTTTGACGTTCCATTATACTCGAAGGATAATGAGTGCTTGATAAAGCGTTGCGTCAAATACTTTCGGTAATTAAATTTGAAGCGACGTTTAATTGCGAGCAAGAAATTCCAAATGAACGTTGCTGAATATTATTCGTAGAAAGCATCGTCTCTTTTCTACGAGAGGAACGAAGCTGAAGGAATAAAAATAAAGGGAATAACAAGTAAAATAAGTAAAACAAAAGTGTCTTTTGCATTGTAATGGTTGATGCAATTGTAGACGATCAATTTAAAAATGTAACAGAGTGCATTTGTCTTGCATAAATAAAAATCTTCTTGTCTTGTGATAGGTAATTTGTAAAACAGATTGACAATAAGTATAAGACAGTATTTTTAGTTTTTTGTGATGATGTATACTCATATTATAGAGTTTGTATTCTTTCATTTCGTAAAATTTTCACTGTTTCATCAACTTACTGTTTGGCCTGTTATATCGTTTAATTTGTCGTCACGTTTAATGACGATTAAGTACAATTTGGAAATTTTTTAGACTTTGTCTTTGGAGATATTTGTTCAAAGAATGAAATAGAACTCGTTCGATCGAAGAAATTTGTTTCGTTTATTTGCTCATTTAGAGAGAGAAAAATAAACTTTCCACGTATTAATTGTCCCTATATCAGGATCACTTGTACACTGCAGTATTTCACGGCATGAATCAGCTCAAAAACTTTTTAATCCTCGTTGGATACCTTGAGGATCCGGCTGCTTTAGAAACTTGTTGCTGGCCATATATTTCCACTGAATCATTTCAGAAATATAAAGCATTTTCTTATATTCCTTGCGACTTTACTTCTGTCTTTTCCATTATAAGAAAACAACGATACAATTTATCATCCTTTATGCTGAATATTTCAAGACTGGCACTTCAAATCTCTGGATTTCATTAAATTAGAAATAGAATTTCCCTATGCAAAACCATATTGCAAAATCAAACACACACCCACCAATAGAACTTTTTATAAACTCTATTAACGCAGTGAAATTGTACGAAATTTCGCGGGGAAGTTAATACTTTTAAAAATTCTGTGCCAAGAAAAATTCTGTTTTATTCTTGCTTTATCCTCTGACAAAATAAATTTGTACATTTTAACACGATATCGTATACGTTCTTCTTAAACAGAAATGGCTTTTCTCTGAGACGTATCGAGACTTTTGTAGGTAACTTTTGTAAGTAAAAAAATATTTAATCGCCATAATTAGACTTTTACCATAAAGTTTTAGATTTGTATTTAGAATACAACTTCGTTCGGGGAACAAACAAAACCGACAGCATCATTCTCCAAAGTGAGATTTTTGCCAAATTAGAGAAACTGTGTAACAAGATATAAGATGGAATCGTTCGCTATAAGGAAATTGATTATCATTTGACGATGGAAAAATGAATATCGAAGGGAAGTATCGATTATTAGCGGGAAACGGCGAGTAGCGAATCGTCGCCCCTATTATTCCCTGTAACTGGGTTAATTTTTCTTCAGGTTCGTTTTCTCCTTGCCCGATCGCAACGAAGAGTATCCTCAACGAAGAGACAGGTGTACCATCCTTCTCCAGGCTGAGAATATATTATCCTCGCTTTAATTGTACTTTTATCGTTCGGTCGTCCAGCTTCGATAAATCTCGCCAGTTAACTCAATGGCTCGCGTTCAACTACCGCTCGTATAGCTCTCACTGTATAACACGTGACAGGAACTTCTTTGGTCAAACGAACGACTCACGAGATCGATTTTTAGAAAACAGTCGAGAAAAAGTAGGACAAATTATGAAAGAGAAGGAATTGATTGCGAAAACTCGAAAATATTAACGTTGGTAGTAGGTAAATGTAGAAGTCTATCACGGCACGCAGATTGTTTAATAATTCGACGAATAGAAAAATTAATCGTTTTTATTACATATGTAATTTGTCATGTAATGAAAATTATATATTATACGCGTGTTTATATGTTGTTATTTCTATACTCAGAGGTAGGATCACGATAGTTATTATTTTATTGAATGGATAAATTTATCACACCGTTCTGAGCCAAAAAAACCTTTATTGCACGCGCTTACAAAAACTAGGGATAAAAACAAAAAAGCATCTCAAGCCTATCGATTAAATCTATCGATTGGATTAGGATTATCTCCTAGTTACTATTTCTTATAACTAACGCATCTGCATATGGATGGCGAGCACGAAACACGTTGTTATTTTCAACATTATACGTACAGTTTTAACGTAGGTTAACGATTCGTGTACTGATATCGATGGATTATCGAGATAAATTTTGGCAGAGAAAAAATAGCTTGCCAAAATTAATTCTGTTTTTACAAACTAACAGGTAATCTTTATTATACGACTGTACAATGAATTGGAAAGTGCATGGTACTTGTCAGTTACACACAATTTCCTGATATCTTAATCGATATTGTATTATACCTAATTTTATTAAATACCAAATTGTTTCTATCCCATGATCAGATGTTTACAATATCACGAAATAGCGTACATATAATACATAAAATACCAAAATTTCCTTTTGCCCCCCAAAGAAAACTGTTGCGAATCATCGACTAAAGAGCAACCGGTCAGGTCAAACCGATCGGTCGATATCGCGTATCTCGAATGAATTAACGCACAAGGTGGAGGATACTTGTTGTATAAACGTAAAGTGTGATGTTCTGAACATGGCGGTGGTAAGAGTTTGTTGGATGTGGAGTATTTCAGCCGCACGGTACGAAGTCTGTCGATGAACTGTCCCCCTACGTTGCTGATTCTCCCTAACAGCCGTTGGGTTTCGTCTCTGGACTTTTCGCCGGCTGGACTTTTCCCGGGGTTTTGACCTGACCTCGGAGTCATTGGGTTTACAGCTCGGGGAAGACATGAAATTCGGAATTTCCTGAAGAAGGGAAGGGACTGTGCGTGCCATAAACGGACGGCCACTCAAAATTCCGAACAGAAATTATATTAAAATTAAAAATAAATGATTATTCCAAAGAAACGTTTATTATCATTGATACGCTATTCGGACAACAACGATTTCTCCTATAATTCCACGTTTTCTAATTACAGACCTTAAACAACCTTCGACCGAACTAATGGGAGGAACAAAAGGGTTCACAGCGATTTCCGTGAAAGAGTAAACGATATATCAGCGACGACTAGCAGCGCTGGTTAAACATCATCGGCAATAAAGCATGCTTTGCATCGAGCGAACAGTTGCCTTTAGTCTGCATTTGGATTAAGGGGAGGGGTGGATTAAAAGTGAAAATAACGTTCTGGATCTCTTTAACGCTAAACATCAGAACGGAACAACCGATGGAAAAGCTTCGAGCGTATTACGCGAATTAGTGTCGTTTCCACCCTCGCAGCTCGTCCCGTGAATCGCATTAAACGTTAATGCTTATATATTAATATATTAATCGAGCAGCTGAACGTGGAAACTGAACGATTCAGCAGCGGCTCTATGCCAGGATTTTGCAACGCCATTAATCAAATAATAAATAAGTTTGGATAACTTTCGTAGCACGATGGTTGAAAATGTTGAACCTGTTTCATTAGCGATTAATTTATTGATAATGCGAGGATGGGAATTTAACTGTTCAATGGGAGTCATTGAATTTTGTGGACTAAAAATGTGCGAAAAGATCGAATGTTCGATGCTACGCTGAGAGTTGTTAGAAAAATCAAAGAAGATTGTAAAATAGGAAAAGATGCGTTGAATATGGTACTGGTTCAGTGGGTTTCTGAATGATTATAACGCAGAATGATGTTCGATATTACAGCATTTAAGTATAGCACTATAATATTTAATTCCGCATGTGTCTATAAATGAAAATTTTGATAGTTTCCTATTTTGTATGGCTCTAGATTTACACTACTTTAGAGAATACATAACAACAATAGAATAAAATGAAAAAGATCAAAGAAAGCATTGTTCAGTTTCGTAGATTTCTAAAAATTTTATATATTAAAATGGAAGCTCTCAAAAAAAAAAAAAAAATGGAGAGATTTTCAAATTGTTAGACACGATTGCAACAAAATTAAAAATCCTAGAGTTTCACAAGTTTCTTCGATCATTACACTTCAAGGCTTCGGAATACGAAGTCCTATCCAACAAAATCCAAAATTCCAAATTTAAGGTTCGGTATTTTTGTTTAACATAAGCACCATCATGCCCTCTGTCGCCGATATTAACTCTGTCTATTTTTCAAACAACAGAAACCATCCTTTTCACTTGAACGCACAAGCGAGATTACCAAAATCTAACTCTTTAAAGAAGGACGAAACTCGTGTTCGCGAAACTTAGTTTCCAATCTTTGCCTTCCCAAATCGGACTTCTTTTAACTCCACGCAAAGTATTACGATACACTAGTTTCGGAAGGAGCAAGAACCCGGAACAGAGCGAACATCGACTGAGAAAAGATACTCTGTGTCGCGAGCATCTGGCCAACAGTCGCCACCTCGTTTGGAATTAAGTGGCCTCTGAAATGGAAGCATATTTTTCGGTTGTTCGGCAACGAACGGCTGAACTTTCGCGGCGATATTACGCGGTACATACGTTATCCAAACTTTTCTGGATTACAGCGGCTTTTTCCAGGCCTGGTCGTGTAAAAAATGTATCACCGTTATGGAAGGTGCGCGTGCACGCAGCCAGTGTCAGTGTCTAGATTTTATCGCGGATAATATGGTTACGTCGTTGTTACTAAGCCGCCTTACTCCTTAAGAATCTGTGGGCTGTGCATACGTTATTCGTGCTCTGTGATATTATAGCTAGAAAGGAAAGTTTGCATTGAATTGTTCTCCGAACAGATGTAGAAGATTATCCCGCTCGAGCTTCGTTCGGATTTCTAAAATCCATTCGACACGTTCAAAGAATTGTTAAAAGAGGTTCGAGTAACTTGAACGACGCAGAAACCTGTATGACGAGACCTGTAAATCTGTGAATCCATTATATAAATTAAGAACACGTGAAAAGACTTTCTCGTATTTAAATCTATAGATTTGAAAGTACGCCGAGAATGTACATTTTTAACGAATATTCTGATCGCGTAAAAATTTCGTTAAGGCATTAAACCGAACTAAAAGAAAAAAAATGTAATCTGGAGCGGTAGAGATTCGCAAACTCCAATCGCGATATCCGTTAACACACTAATTATGTCGGGAAACATTTACAATGGCACAATTTCCAGTCTCAAATAACATTCTTCCGATACCGTTTCTTGAGAAGTTTCCAAGAATCGTCGTTTCAAGCATCGAGCGATTCTTTTTAAAGCATCGTCGCAAACAAGCGACAAAGAGAGAAAAAAAAGCAGAGAAAGACTGGCGCGGAAATTCTTCAAAAATTTCCTTTTGTCGTCGTTCGTTCGTTTGTTCATGGACCGGTCGTGTTGCAATTTTATCGCGCAAATAGCTGAGCTCGTTCATTTTCAATTTCTCGCGCCGTTTACCCCTCTTATTTCCCTCTTCTTCCGGTTTTAACGAAGGTGAAAAATTCAACGGGATAATTTTCGTATGCAAATACGCCGTTACCGGGGCGGGACCTCTCGTAATCGCGCCTCTGCCCATCTAACGAGGCTGCATTGAATTTTTATTTAGCCAAGCCTCGTTATTCCCCCCACTCGTGAAACGTTCCACCCCGTCTCTCTTCGATTATACGTTAAATTCTTCGTTGTTCGTGCGTATCATCGATCGTACGATCGACGAGAAGAAAGATGAAAACCGAGAATGGAAAGGAGGGAAGAGAATGGCGCGAAGGAAGCGGAAAGACTGACCTCTTTCGGTGTTCGTGGTTGAATTAAATGTTTGGACTTGGTCGCGTTTGATGGCGCCAAGCCAACTAGTTTGTCATCAGGAAAAGTTACGCGAAAAGGAAAACTGGCTGGCAGGAAAAGGACGAAACAGATTATTTATTTGATCACCGTTTCGTCGAGATTTATCGTTGCAAACGGAAGCCAATGGAGACGCAGAAGAAACGACAGAGAAGCATAAAGATTAATCAATGCTAGAAAATTGATTTTTATGTGTTGTACTGTATTTGTCTCGTCGTGTAAGTAGTACGACTAAATGAACGTTGTTTTTCATCCATTCTGGAGAAAATCTTTCTTACCGCGATGTGATTGAAAATATATAATTGTACTTTATTTCTTTCGTGAATAGAAGATTTTAATATTTTTAATATCTTCTTAATATGTTTTCTTCAAGGTATTGTAAATATCGTAGTATTAATGTGAAACATGAAATAAATAGCTAATCAAATTGGAAAATTTAGAGACGCTGAATGTTAAGAGACGTAGACGTATCTCGTTATCTTCTTAATTATTAATTTTTTTCGTGAAACATGTAAGTAGATATTACGATTTATAGCTTAAATTTTCCTTTCAATATATTATACGAAGACAAAATATACCATAGAGATAGAGATCTGTATTATGTGCTTGGGTTAATGCCAATGTGGTTAATAATTCAAAAATACGGAAGCAAAATCAAAGGGACCGAGGAAATAGTGGGAATTGGGTTGGATATATAGCGTGTAGTATAAGAAATAACAAGCAGCAGAAACAGACAAAGAGACAAGAAATAAATGATAAGCAGTGCTTTGTGACAGGCGACTAGATATAATGTGGACAAAATACACCGAACCAAAATATAGGGGGATAAAAATGACAAATATCGATGACAAATTAAAATATAAATCTTGCTCTATTTAAGCGACTATTCCGGCGCTGATTCAACATTTCGATTTACGAGAATCTTGAAAAATATCGTTAAAGGACATTCGCAGAGAATTTTTTTCCTACGTTAGTCTCGAAGATGGAAAGGTTCGTAAAATGAGATTTTGTATGAAAGTACGACCATAAATTAAAATATTTAAAACTTCTCAAGTTTCCTCCGGTTTAATCAATACATAGTTGATCAACACCTGCGCGCTGTAAATTATGAACGCATTTCTGTCCAAACGAATCGACGGTCTGCTTCACGATCTTACCAAACCTAATACAACGAAATTACAAGCTGAAATCCAAAGAAGTATATACAATGCGATTCTATAAAACGTAGAAAAAAAAAATATTAAAAGATTTCAACGTGCAGCCGAAAAGCTCCTAAACCGCGATCGATTCGAGCGTAACGCGTACAAAATAGCAAAACCGCGGATGTCGACGCGTCCAGCAATTGATACACGGGTTTTTTCAATTTCGTTCCTCCATTTCCGTGGCGACGCGAAAGATATTGAAAAACGGCCGGACGTGTACAACCGGACGAGGTGGTGGCCAATCCTCAAGAGGTAGGGAACAGCGGATATGGGTACGTAAGGTAGAAAATCCTTCTCGAATTGTGCTTCGAGCAGCATTGTTACTGGCTTGGACCGAAGGCAGGACAATGAAATTCTGAAAAATGCGGAAGAAAACAGCGTGGCCAATACGCGACTTCGAGAAGAACGGAAGTTTTACCGTCTTTCTGCCACCCTCTTTCGTCTCCTCCTTCGTCCCCTCTTTCATCTCAACCACCGCCCTTATGGCAATTATATCTATATCCCTCGAACGTATGAGCATACCAGGTTAAAGGCATCCCCGTTTTTCTCTTCTATCGTCCCCTTTTCTTGTCCGTTCAAACCCCGACGTAAATCGAGGGTTCGCTTTCCAAGTTTTCGAGACGCTGCGCGATTGTAATGGCGATCAGGATTCTCGAGGATCGATTAATGCGAACGGTAGCCTGGAATTCGAGGAAGAATTGCCTCGTTCCTTTCTCGGCAATACGGAAAGGTAGAGTGGAATAACGGAGGGAAAAGAATTACTAAGATGCTGCGACGTTATTATAGTTTGCGTGGGATTGTTGTAATGTCTCGAAGGAAATATAATGTCCTGCGTACTTAAGAGCCGAGTTCTTTTCAGTCTGTGAGAATGATTCATTTTATTAGCAGGAACAAAGATTCTTCGAATGTTTTTGTGAATGAGGCATAACGTACCAGGACTTAGGAAGAGAGGCATATTTTATAAAACGAAGTGCAGGACGGCGAGAAATAGCGTTGATTCTAATCGTCGTATTTTTTAGGACAGTTTTTACTAATTGTAAATTTTACTAATTATCCTGAGGACAGTTTCTGTTACGCCACGAGACTTGCCACAGGCTGTATTCCTAACCGTCGCTCGTGGTCCTGCAGTGTCGCAGGCAGATCGTCTTATCTGCCCGACGGAACATATACAATGTATCGACGAGCGCATAGTTGTCGCCAAGCAGCGAGCTCTAGAAACGTCGATTTTTGTCCGTTACGTTTTCCACACAAGAAGGCGGCATACGTGATCATAGGCGTGAGCGGTGGCATGACCCGAGCATAGTGGGAGTCGTCTTCCAAACAAGACAAAGAAATGATCGAAAGGCAATCAGTCCCTTCTGACGAGCCAAACGTTATACATCGAGAGGTCTGACGAGCAAAATCAAAGACGCATAGTCTAACGAATTCATTGAGAGACATTGTAAAGTCGAGTCAACTTTCTGTAGCATATTACTTTATTCATTGTTAAACAATTTGTGGCGTGTTCGTCATATTATTGTCAAATATATTATTTTATGTTAACCTGTTAATACAGTGTTAAAGTCATTGAACTACCTCTGTTATCTTAACCGAAACAGGGGAACGACTATTTCGCGGCGTCGATTAACAGAATCG